CAGTTGTGTGTGTTAGTCACCAGCTGCAAGGGTGATATAAGTGTACTGGGGCAAGCTTTAGGTGTACTGAGAGTGGGTGATGGGGTGATGTAGGATATTACTGGTATATGCTAGGGTAATATAGGTGTACTGGGATATGCTAAGCTTATAAAGGTGGACTGGGACATGCTACGTTTATATAGGTGTACTGGGACATGGTGGGGTTATATAGTTGTACTGGGACAAGCTAAGGTTATATAGGTGTACTGGGACATGGTCGGGGTAATATAGTTGTACTGGGACATGCTAAGGTTATATAGTTGTACTGGGACATGGTGGGGTTATATAGGTGGACTGGGACATGCTAAAGTTATATAGGTGTACTGGAACCTGCGGGGGTTATATAGGTGTACTGGGACATGTTAAGGTGCTATAGGTGTACAGGGACATGCTGATGTTATATAGGTGTACTGGGACATGCTATGGTTATATAGGTGTTCTTGGACCTGCTAAGGTGCTATAGGTGTACTGGGACATGCTGAGGTTATATAGGTGTACTGGGACATGCTAAGGTTATATAGGTGTTCTGGGACCTGCTAAGGTGCTATAGGTGTACTGGGACCTGCTAAGGTGCTATAGGTGTACTGGGACATGCGAGTATTATATTGGTGTATTGAGATGCTGGGATGATATAGGTGTACTGGGGCATGTACTGGGCCATGATTGAACATTGTTACATTGTTGGAGTGAACACAGAGACAGCTGTCCACAGATACATGCATATATAACACAGTATTACATCAGTCGTATTCCACCCAGCCAATGCATTAACACTATTACTGACAGAAAGCCATTCTCATACACTTGTAGGAAAGTAGTCATAATACAAAAGGGTTCACAGGTTGTTTCTTTCATAGGCTGAAGGATACCTTGAACATATAAGAAACATGTCAGCTATTAGATTAGTGCTAACGTCTATCCATATCTATCTATGTCTGTGGCTTGCACTGATGGCTAGACACTGGGTCAGTTAACCATTCATAAATTGACCAATCTCATTAAATCAGATCTTAGTTCTCGCTATCGGTAAACAAAGATCTGAGGACATCCCATTACGGGTCACGTCAGAACGACCTTTCATCCAACCAATCAGAGCGTCTCTTACCAGATCATGAAAGTGACAGACGGAATGTGTTTTCTGATCGTGCAACCTCGAAATATTTAACAGCAGGTATTCTGAACGACAGTTACAGGTTTTTATCCATACAATCTAGGCCATCTATAAGCCATTCCAGAGCATTTCTTTTTTATCAGTTTTAAATTTTTAACCGAGAATACGTGAAAATATGTTTCGAAGTGTAGTCGCCAGTTTGAAACTAGTGTCGTAAAGCTCGAGAAAGCTGCCTTCTGATTGGCTAATGTCGATTTCTTGTCAGTCATTTCACTGATCGGTCAAAGTTCGCGAGAGGTTATTCTGACGTGACCCGTAATGGGATGTCCTCAGATCTTTGTTTAGCGGTAGCTAAAACTAAGATCTGATTTTAATGAGATTGTAAATTGACAAAACAAATTAAATCAAGAACCTAAAGGATAAGGAACAGGAGCCGTGGCCAGTCTGCCCATGACCAGCTGACCAATCAGTAGCACCGTAGTTTTGATACACTTGTGCGGTCTGTTCAGAGTTGTCAGTATGTCAAGTTTCACTTTTTGTTGCAAAGAATAAATGAAAATCCTGCAATACAGGGACATTTTACCGAAGCTAATCTCAGAACCCGAATTGTTCATCAATAATCACGTCTCAAAATGAATGCTAAGAGTGCTCATACGCCAACATAAGAACATACACAAGACATGTTGGTTCCTGCTACAGCTGCTAGCTCACTATACACCAGCCATAGCTGACCATCACATCATATAGATGGCAACAGCCGCACACATTTATCCCGACTTCTGGACACTGAAAGCAGAACTACACATGCAGAACAGTCCATGAAGGATTCCTAGCAAAACATACTTCAATTTTGAATTTTCTCCAAAATATTCTATGTACTGGCATGTCTTTTCTCTTCATGTACCTCAAACCTTCACAAAGCCATAATCATGTTACTGAAAACAAATTAAAGGATGAAACAAAAATCTTTCTGGGTTTTGTCTGTTGCACAAATTTTGGATTTTAACATTTATCTAAATTTACAACTTTGTTTTGTTTCACTTGTTGTAAAAAGCCTCACTCTGCAAATGTTCCAGGCATATAACAATTAACATATCAGATCAACCAATATTAGTACTAGTCATAGTGCATTTGGACCATTGATATGAGAGAGTGAGTGTCCAAAACTGCTTTTAACAGTATACCAGTTATTTCACCGGAATGTTTCTAAGTATGTCAGCACCATACCCGTGCCCGTGGGTGTCACCTTGAGTTGGAAGGTAAGCCAAAAGTGATGGAGGTCTCAGACGTTTACCACTTCGCTGAAACCCACGGGCACGGGTATGGTGCTGACAAACTTAGAAACATAATCGGGGCGAACTGGGATTTGAACCCACAATCATAGGTTTCTGGCGTGCAACCAAGTGCTCTGCAAAGAGATATTGCAGAGCCTCACACAACAGGGCCACCATGCCCCACCCCCACCCCCACAACTGTTACGAGACATTTGTACTTCAATGGTAAAGTTAGGAAAGTAATCAGCAAAAACACAACATTGTGGAACCCTTCAGGGACTGGTCAATACAATAATCTTTATATATACATATATATATATACAGTATTAGATTAGCCTATACAACATCTCAAAATAAATAACATAACTTCCTCAGTCTCAAGCTTTGTATATACAAAATAAAATGCATTGCTTCTGCATATACAAATAAAACTTGTAAAACAAGCACTTGACAATAACAACATTCAATGTCATAAGGGAGTCAAGCTGTGCATGAATCACAAAGCTACAATAGCAACACCTTTATGCTAAATAGGCTGCGGAGCAGTTTCATTATGACCAGTACATAACCTATACCATCCACAGTAGTAAGAGTCTTTTCAGAGCTTCCAAATGAATAAGCATGTATTATTTATCATTTTTGGCATGACAAGTGCCCTTGGTGTATTAAACATATAGGCCAAAGCAAGTGCGTTTGGGGTTACAAACAGGGATAGGGTTGTTTTAGGGACATTTTGCAATACACAAATTGCAGACATCATTCTGGTCCAAAAATCAAGTTCCAATACGGAGTACATTTTCCAAAAATCATCAAGATTTTACCTTTTGTGACAATAATAGCTTGCCACAATTTTCTCATATCAGCTTCATTAACCCTGACAGGTAAGGAAACATGTATGATAACTTATTGTTGTGTGTGTTGTTGTGTGTGTGTTGTGTGTGTTGTTGTGTTGTGTTTTTGTTGGAGGGGAAGGGTGTGTGTAACTGCTGGTTGATGATCACATCAGTTCAGATATTGTTATAATCGTAAACTTGTATCTAGGAACATTGAGAATATGGTTATAACTTTTGATATACCATACTAGGGTACAGAGGTGGGTGTCGGAACACTAACCACTCGCAAGACCTCATCATACATTATGCTCAAAGATGAATGTTAGTATTATGCCCTTGCTTGGTGAGGATGGATCAGAAATATTTTCCATTGCATATCAAAATCACAAACGTTGCAAAATATGACAGGACACAAATGAGAATGTATGACAAGGAGGCAAACTATTCCAATTCTGACAGACAAGTTACTACATTATGTCTGTAAACTGGCAGCCACTGATATCACCAATAACGTACAACACACATGGATGAAGGAAGGAACGGATGGGAACGATGGCTACTATATGCATGATCATGATTATAAATTAGTTTCAATCGACACTTGATTCGTTTTTGTGAGTATGGTTTACGTCACCTTTTGACATTTGCTTTTGCATTGAAAAGAAAACACACATGGTACCCTGTCGTGATCCCAAATATGTAAATAGAAACAAGTTCCACCAAAACGAAACTACTCTAAGAAAAAACTGGATTTCTTTTTGTACAAGGCCTTGGAGCCTCTCAGGCTTGGGTAGTGTGTTCCTTGAGAAGGCTGAATTATGTATAGGTGGTGGATATGACTCGTATTGCACAATTGTTGTCATACCATTCATATCGCAATAGACCGAAATGGAATAAATTGATTTCCACATTGACAAGTAATAAATGTGAATTCAATTCTGAAATCTCGAAGTATGGTTGCGATACAGATTATATGGATGCATGTGTCATATTGTTGGAGCCCTTGAATCAGCCTACCGGGTTATATAACATCCATAAGAACTGCAATGTTTGTAACAAAGACAGTGGAATGAGTTAGAAACACTAACATAACAAATACCAACCAATAAATAAAATATCTTCATTCCATTGCAGCTTGTCATGTGAAAATGTGCAATGAAATTATGAAATTTCCTCTCATTTTGTAACTAACCATACCAAACATGACAGAAATGCATATCTTGTAATATTTTAAGTTATAAATTATTTGTCGATCGCCACCATGGCTTTGATTTCATCATCAGCCCCCTCATGTTACATGCCAGTGCGGGGCGGAACAATAAGTTATATATAGGGACTAGACATGGCATCACAATGTGATCTACTGGTCACACACAAGTGTTGATTATATGTCACAGGAAACTGGTAACTGAAACATCAATCTTCTGACCTTGAACTTTTGACCTTAACTTGTCTTTGAACTTTTGACCTTGAACTTCTGTCCTTGAACTTACAGTCATTGCTTCACACAACCACCACCTGTCAAGGTTAGATTGACCTGGATGTCCTGCCAGCAACAAAGCTTCCTCAGTCTATCAGTACATTGGTACTTGGTGTGGTCAACATATCTTCCAGGCTGCTGCTTTCTGATACCTCTGTATGTGTTGCATTGAGGATCTCTGATATATTTTCACTGTGTGTGTAGTAGATATATCGCACCCTTATGCGCCTGCAAATGTCATAGATACTTATCAGACATAGATGTTTTGCTGGTACATCCTCAAGTATCGTAAACATATCGCACATTGATGTTTATTGGTACACCAATTTGTCGTAGATATATTGTACAGCGATGTCCTGCTGGTACAGCTACATGTGTCTAACAGTGTGTAGTTTACAGGATCTGAGCATATAGCTACACTCTCCAAGTGTAAGTTAGACTGTCCACATTGCACTCTCTCTCTCGCAGCCCAGATCAAAGATTCTAAGGTGACCTTGACATCAATGCTTGCAACACAACACAAGGTCATGACACCAGAGTGCCTGCTGGTGATAGGCTAAGATATCTCTTAAGATGCGCCAGAATCATGCAAGAACTACCAAGAATACTCAACTAAGGACACCCCTGTACTGAGGACACCCATGTACCAAGGACACCCCTGTACAGAGAAAACCTCAACTCAGGACACCTCTGATTCGAGGACAACATTGAATTGTGGAAACCCCTGTACTAAGAACACCCTTGTACTAATGTCGCTCCTGCGTCAAAGACTGTCCTTTACAGAGGACACACCTAAGTCATCTCCAGTAGGTTGAATATGAGTTGTACAGTCAGCGCTGCCTTCCACAGATTTGGCACACAACATCCACATTCCACATGACACATATTCAGTAAGTCATCAACACAGTAATATTCTCTGTTAAAAGAGTCACAATCATCTCCTGCTAGACCTCCTTCTGCACAACCTCCACTGTCGTCCCTGACAACGAAATCACACAAACTTGGGCTCATTCCTTGGGATCCTTCTTATTGACTGTTGTCACCTCCTTGATGGAGCTGATGGTTTTGTGGAACCAGGTGTTTTTGGATGCTTGTATTTCGCTGATGGCTGAGTTGAGTTGGTGAGTGAGGTCCTGTGTCTTGCACTCAGACTCCACCAGAGCCAGCTTCGTCTGGGCCAGCTCTAGTTCCAGCTCTCGAACCTGCTTCCTCAGATCCAGCACGCATGGGTTGCTGTCTTCCGGGTTGGCCTTGACCTCCGGCAGTCTGACCTTGCCGTCCTCGGTGAACATCTTGGAGCATTTATCACATGACTTCACTTGACCCTATCGGAGAGAACAATGATATATATTTTCAACTTGGTCGTGAAAGGCCATGTGAAGGTCAAAGGTCATCAACAGTGTGATATCTTAGTCATAGTTAGTAAATGGATGTTTTTAACGCCCACAGTCAGCATCTTTTCAGCTATATCATGGCAGCCGATAAATAACAGAGTTGCACCAAATAATCCCCAGTGAGATTGGGGTCGACGCTGTTTTGAACAGTGTTCCAGCTATATCACGGTGTGCCAGCTTAATGGTTTGAGGAAAGCCCAAAGTGATGCAGGTCTCAGACGTTTTACGCTTTGGTGAAAACCATGAACAGGAGTATGGTGCACACAAACCTAGAAACGTAACTGGGGCAAACCAGGATCTTAACCCACAATCATATCTGACAAGTACAAGGCACTAAGGTCCTATTCTGCTTTCTCAGATCCAAACCAATATTGGAACTCGACTCCTCTCCCAACTATGAAAAACTTGATTTGACAACATTTTGAGGAGTGGATGTGGGTGTGCATTGAACGATATTTCTGTTGTGTCACAATGTGATATAAGGGCCCTTTTCACACACAAGGTACCCCTTACGTAAGGATAACCTGCCCTCTCCTTCCCTTAATATATCTCAGCTCCTCTCATGAATATGTCTGCCCCATTTTGGATCCCCTGCCCTCTCCTTACTTTAATACGTCCCAGTTCCTCGCGTGAATGCGTCTGCTGCTTCTCCAGTCTCTCACTCAGCTGGGAGCAGATCTGTTTGTAGTCAGCGATGATGGCAGAGTTCCGCTGGCTCTCAGACTCTGCCCTGTCCAGTTCCCGCCGACACATCTCCTTTAGCTGAACCACAAATGAGTATCAAAACATCTTACTCTCGCCTTAAGTTCCGTAACCATCCTTCAAAGGAACTCATTCAACTTGAGTTACTGTTTACTAATTCAATATTGTCACCATGGACTATTACAGGAGCTTCACTTCACACACACTAAAGAACTCGGTATGATAACAGGGTATGGTGCTGACAAACCAAGATTCATAATCAGAGCAAAACTAGAATTCAAGCCCACACTCATAGGTTTCTTGCATGGCAAAGGGAAGTAACTCTGCACAGAAAATTGCAGTGTCTTAGACAAATGGGCTCTTACGACACCATTGTCTTCAGATACAATAATTTCAGGACACAAGAATTGTTTGACTACCAATCATCAACACATTTAATAATTTACCTCCTGCTGTTTGTTGTCTTGTACTATCTTGTCAGGATTTCTGACCATTTCATAATGTGCGTCGTATGTTCAGCACAAAGATATGTAAAAATAGCAACTGATTTCTATTCCAAAGTTTAAAGAAGTCATCCCCCACCTGTGAGGACTCAGTCTCAAGTCGTCGTTTCTCCTCCTCCGTCTCCGTCAACATCTTCTGGGTGGTCATGTGGTCCTTCATCAGAGCCTCGTGGGAGTCCTCCAGCTGAAACATAACCATGCAACAGGTAACCAAAGCAACATGAAACAGCAACACCACTTGGTATCCTATTAGTTGGGATACGATAACATGCATCAACCAAGACAGCGAGCCTGACCACCCGATCCTATTAGTCGCCTCTTACGACAAGCATAGTCGCCTTTTACAGCAAGTATTTGTTGCTGAAGACCTATTCTACCCCGGATCTTCACGGGTCGGCTATCATATGAACGTGTGCTGTAACCCATATCATCAGTGTATGACAACAGATCCCCATTTTAGTCCCCTTCTACCCTTGCGTTACCATAGAAGCCGCATGGAAATCCATCATTGTTACTTTGAGATGAGTGATAATAATGGCCTTATTGAGAATTTCTCAGCTTTTGGGCAACACTGTACATGTATGCCAAAGAGAAGATGATCATAAATCTACCACCATCTGCAACAACAAGCATCTATCTACTCACGGCATCAAGCTCACTGCGAAGGGCCAGTTTGCTCTCCACCAGTTCATGGGCGAGGTCATCATTTTCCTGTTCAAGACGGAGGTTGTCCTCGAGGAGGCGCTTGTTCTCACGCTGAAAGTAGTATCGGCATGGGTTAGTGAAGTCTTAGTCAGACCTCCCTTCCATCAGTGAGTGATGGAGTTGGGTCTTACTTCATAATGAACAATGCTTCATACATCAAGTTATTGTGGGGGAAAGCCCTTAGACATTTACGTGTTTGGAGAAACTCAGAAGCACAAGTACGATGCGGACAAACCAAGAATCATGATCAGTCCAAATATGGAATTCAAACCCTTGATAATAGGATTCTGCCCCGTCTAAGGGACAAAACTTGCACAAATTAAAAATAGATGCACAACATGATCAATAACGTGATATTACAGACAGGAAGTTTATAAACAGTAGCCAACACATTATCAGTGCGTGATTGTACTGACGCAAAATTATCATCAGATCAAGTTTGATTAAAATATTCATTAGTAAAAAAGTAAGTTTTGAGGTATGTTTTCATTACTTATTGAATATCTTTCCTCGTGTAGCTTAATTCAGAACATAACTTCAGCGGCAACAATTTGCTGACTTCAGTAGGCTTTGAAGAGACTACCTGGATTTCGTCATTAAGCATGTGGTGATGTATTGTTTAGGGGCTCGAAATAAGGTGAGGCTCGTAAAAAGGTCACGTGGAGATACAATACGGATGAACATCAAATGCAAAACAATTACCGTATTCAACGCAACAAGCACCCAGGGCGCTCTCAAAATTGGAAATAGGGGGCTCTTATTAGAATATTATTTTGGTGAAAACAGGAGTTGAAAGATAAATTTTGTGGTTTATGCTGACAGCCTTAAATGCTTATATATGACAGATATATTATTCCAGAATTTAATTGCCCATTATTAAGGCTGCATATAACACACGAGTGCGTATTATACGCGAATAAATAAGTCTTGTGTACCTTTATCAATCGGAAGGGGCACTTATTATGATTGTTTACTTGTCAATATATTAGCAAATATCGCCGTGGGCGCTTATTACGTCGAATACGGTAGTTAATCTTATAATTCCCGACTCTAAAAAATTGCTTAACATCAGCAATACACAAATGGAGGTGTCCTCAGATGTTCATGCAGAGAGATATTGTATCAAAGTAAAGGATCTGATTCTAATGAGACAGATAACTATCCTTATCCAGCCCTTCCTTGCTTTCCTAGCACAGGATCAACCAACATGTTCTGTGGTCACTGCATCACCCACCTCAAACCTCTCGATGGGATTCTCCTGCTGCAGCTGGTGTTCCTTCATCTGCACGTATTCTCGCTCGTATTTCTTCAACTTACGAGCAGTTACCTGTAGCAAAGAACAATTTCTTTTCAAATATTGAACTATGTGAAACAATCAGTCTACCAACATAAGGACAGCATAATTAATGATATAACATCTGAGGTTCACTATTTGTCTGTCACTAGTTGCGTGATGAGCACATTCTCATGCCTTATATAGAATAAAATAATTACTCAACACATACCATGTACACAGTAATTACTTGTTACCACATTATATTTGTGACGAAATCACTTTAACAGAAATCTTTTTGTGGACTCCCAACAAAACAACTGTCAGCAATGAACCAGATAGGGAGACGAACAATATAGCTAGTATAATACCCAGGCATAAAGAACCACAGTACACCCAAGTGAGACAATGTTATAACTCTGTATCACACCTATGAACGAGAAGCACAATACATCCCAGTGTCCACTATGTTATTTCTTATATCACACCCAGGTATAAAGAAGCACGAATTATCCCATGCACGGAGAAGCACAATCTCATTAAAATCAGACCTTAGTTCTCGCTACCGCTAAACAAAGATCTGAGGACATCCCATTAGGGGTCACGTCAGAACGACCTTTCACCCGACCAATCAGAGCATCGCCCACCAGATTATGAAAGTGACAGTCGGAATGTGATTTCTAATCATGCAGCCTCGAAAACTTTAACTCCGAAGGATAGTTACAGGTTTAACGACTGAATCCATACCATCTAAACCATCTATTAGCCATTCCAGAATGTTCTTTTGTTTAGGTTTCAAATTTTTAATCGAGAATTTGTCAAAATATGTTTCGAAGCGTAGTTGCCAATTTGAAATTAGTGCCGTAAAGCACGAGAAACCTGCCTTCTGATTGGTCATTCCATTGGTCGGTCAAAGTTCGTGCAAGGCCGGTCAGACCTGACCCGTAATGGGATGTCCTCAGATCTTTGTTTAGCGGTAGCGAGAAGTAAGATCTGATTTTAATGAGATTGGGAGAAGCACAATATATCCAAGAAAATCAGTATGTCGAAGCTCCCGTATCACAACCAGGTAGGGTAAAGCGCAACATATCTCAGTGAGACATTATGTGATAACTCCTGTATCACACCCAGGTAGGGAAAAACATATTATCATACCCCCATGTCAGAATGATGAGATCTGATTGTCCACGTGGGCAATACAGAATGCGTGTGGATTTCTGAGAGGCAGAATAAATCCCTAAAACCACACTTCACAGAAAAATGCTGCACGCCTTTTCTAGACTATGTAAGTCACATGACATAGCACAAGCTGTTTTCTATCAATTTTGAATTTGTTTGAATTATTTTACAATGTCATATCAAAATCCTTGTGATCCTGCTTCTCAGTGAGACATATGATAACTCCCATATCATACCCAGGTAGGGTGAAGCACAATACATTTCAGTGAGACATTATGTGATAACTCCTCTATACACCCATGTCGGGTGAAGCACAATATATCTCAGTGAGACATTATGTGATAACACTCGTATCATACCCAGGCATTATATATCTCAGTGAGACATTCTGTCATTGCTCCCATATCATACCCAGGTAGGGTGAAGCACAAAACATTTCAGTGAGACATAATGTGATAACTCCCATATCACACCCAGTTAGGGTGAAGCACAAAACATTTCAGTGAGACATTCTGTCATAGCTGCCATATCATACCCAGGTAGGGTGAAGCACAATACATTTCAGTGAGACATAATGTGGTAACTCCTATATCACACCCAGGTAGGGTGAAGCACAAAACATTTCAGTGAGACATAATGTGGTAACTCCCATATCACACCCAGGGAGGGAGAAGCATACCCTCCATGTCTACAGTTTACCAGCTGTGACATGCATATATATACTGAAGAACCACACCGCCACCCATGCAATGGATGTAGCCAAAGCACTGTATTAAATACAAATCTGCCCAAGACTCAATACAGGTCAATCTTACACAACCTATAGTTTTTTTCTAAACCAATAGAAATACTGTCATTTGATTTCCTATATAAATGTACAAATAATAAAACAATATAATAAACGAATGAGTCGGTTTTTGCTGTGTTTTTAGCAATATTCTAGGAATGGGATTGTACCCATGTGGGAATCAAACCCAGGCCTTCAGCATGATAAGCAAATGCCTTAACCTCAAGGCTTCTTTAAAGATACAGATTGATCTACTTTCACTGTGTGAATGTAAGAAGGACATACAGTGATCCCTCGATAATGTTGTCTGAGATGGGATAAAACATTGTGTCATTGAAAAACTTGAGTTTATGTCAGTACATTTTGGGAGCCATGCTTTACCATGCGCTATAACCGAGTTAGCGCGGTATTGAAGAACACAATAGCAAGGGAACACTGTACATATGTTTATCTCTGATTACTAAATGGAACTTAAAAATTGAAATTTATACAGAGTCGGTATCTGATATAAAGCAATACTGAGGAACAAAATGGATGATCATGTAGCATACCAAATAATCCTGGAGGCAGAGGAGAGAGATTACAGGGGATGAAACACGTGGTCACAGCTCCACACATTCATCAAATGCACCCTTTGACACTAACTAGCTGTTTTTCAGAAAGACAGTGTGGTGTTTTAAGTTCCAAAGTAAAATCTAGTATAGTCATGCAATTAGTTCCCTGTTTACAAACGCACAGATCAAGAGTGTGTTAACATAACAACCAATCAGAGACCTCATATCACCAAGTAGTGGATATTTTAACACTATGTAACTATGTAAGTATGGCTGTCATTGGTCAGCATAGTCTTACTGCAGACTGCTTCATGTCACCAGCGCAGTAACAATTCGCTCTGCGATATTTAATCCATATAATTCATAAACAAAAGTTACAAATATCGTAAACTGGGGACAAGCATAAATTCGAATCGTACCTATTACGCCCAAATCATAACAGTTGGCACCTCTGCAATTTGTTCATGAGGTACTAATCTTACTTCAGTAACAAAAGATTGAGTTTACAAATTCATTGCTTGACGAAATTGTATTATAATGATTCAGTTAACATTGCTTGATGAGGTTGTATTAATTTGATTCATTTAACATAGATGGCAGTCAATGAGATGTACTGAAAGATTTACCTTGGAGCTGACCGCCATCCGCATCAGTTCCTTCGCAGCATCGTCAGTGCGGTACTTCTTGGGCAGCTGGACGCGGAAGTATTTGAGGACTCCCTCGAAGTCCAGTGCTAGAAGGTCTTTCCGGGAACCCTGCAACAAAGACAAAATATCAGTGGGGACAACTTTAAACTTGTGGAAAAGAAGTAAGACTATGTACAGGATTTTCTTCAGCACACACAGCACATAACACAGCAGCCTGTATCTTGACAAGGACGTCCACTGGTCGGCAGCATCAGGAACAATGTCATAATTAGCAAGGTTTGTTTGTTGTTTAACGCCGCACTCAGCAATATTACAGCTACATGACGGCGGTCTGTAAATAATTGAGTCTGGACCAGACAATCCAGTGATCAAAAACATGAGCATCGATGTACGCAATTGGGATACAATGACATGCATCAACCATGTCAGCGAGCCTGACCAACCAATTCATGTTAGTCACCTCTTACAAGCATAGTCATCTTTTACAGCAAGCATGGGTTGCTGAAGACCTATTCTTTCCCGTGTCTTCTCGGGTCAATTGGCCAGGTCACACTCTTCATTTCATCTTCATTTCAAGCAGTGAGTAATTAAACAGTGTGTTTGTTGTCTTAATGCAGAAATCAGCAATATTCCAACTGTATGATGCAGCCTGTACAACCATACAATCCAGTGATTGTAGAACCATGCCATCGGGTATCAACCAAGTTACCAAGCCTGACAACCCAATCATTTGGTTGCCTTTCATGACCAGCATACATTGCTGAGGATCTATACCAACCCAGAAACCCACGGGGGCAGTAGTCCAAAGTAGAGCAGGTCTTACCACTTTGGTAAAACCCATGGGCATGCTGGTAAGGTGCTGATAAAATCTAATCAACATAATCAAGGCAATCTGGGATTCATACCCATGATCATAGGTTCCTGGCATGCCAAAGGGACACAACTCTTCAAGTGAATAGCACACCCGTGCCCACAACGGGAATAGTTTCATCACCACTAGCCTATTCCTGAAACCTCCCTGTCCCAAAGTTTCCCAAACAGTCGCAAATGAAGGAATGTACTCCTTTCATTGTACCCACATTGGGAATCAACACCCTGCAGTGACAGCTTGGACCCCACGAGACAGTTAGTTGTAGATCTAATGTTCTAAGAGATGCTGGTGGTCGTGTAGCAGCATCCTTCTCATTCCTGCGTTGTCTTCAACTACCAAGTCCTAAACCCAGATCAATACATCAATCAATATGACACAGGCCCGGAATCCAGGATCAAGTCAGCCTGGTGGATTACACTTACTGGCTTCATGTAAGATCCTGGAAAACACACACATGCACAATTGATCAGGAACTTACCTGGCTCAGTCTACTTGTGTTTGTTTGTCTGGACCAGACAAACCAGTGATATTAAGGTCAATCCAAGTTATAAGCTCACCACCTGATAATTTAAGTGGAGAAGAATAGGTTGCTGGGGACCAATTCTAACCCTGGAATCCCCGAGGCAAAGTATGATCTTTACACAATGAACCCATGAGGAGAATCAAACCCAGGGGTTCAGCGTGACAGGTGAACTCTTCAACCACTGGACCACCCATGTTTTAATATAAAGTTAGGTGACTCACCTTTAACAAGGCCAGCGCCACACTGAAGATAACATCCTTGCCCTGAAATGAACAAGTACAACTGTCAGATAACAATGGGAACAGGACAGAAGTTGGCAGAAAACCAATGACGATAACAGCTTTCAAAGTTGTCTAAGTCGCAAGCAGACAAGTTTCGACTTTACTGATCACTGGGGCACTATTCATAAACTGTTGTTTGAATCCAGGATTGGAACCCCCGCAGCAAATCGTGGCACAGGAAATGGACAGAAGTAACACACTGACATCTTGACCAAATGTAACATCCTAGGTACTTGCAAGGAGCCACTATAAGGTTTCCTCACTGAGGTACAGGAACACCATGTGATCTCAACTCACCTCACTGAGGTATAGGTCCAGGATGTTGAACACTACATGCAGGGGAAACTTGGCAGTGAAGAGTGTCAGGAACCATTGCGAAGCAAACATGTGGATCTCCAGACCCATGTCAGCAAAATGCCCGTATAAATCAATCAGCTGGTCCTGCAAAACACACAACAATCAGTTAATCCTGCAGTACACAAAACAATAAGAAAGAGTGTGTGTGTGTGTGTGTGTGTGTGTGTGTGTGTGTGTGTGTGTGTGTGTGTGTGTGTGTGTGTGTGTGTGTTTGTGTGTGTTTGTGTGTGTGTGTTACACTGCCCTCAGCAATATATATATATATATATACATGAGTTGTTAACATTAGATCTGTTTCTTTGTTCTTTAACACCACATTTTGCAATATTCATCATCGCCTGCCTCCCCAACACAAGCTCCCTGTCCTTACATCCAAAATGAAAACACCATAGCCTGCCACACCCACCACCATTCATAGCCTACCTGCATGAGTCTCTCCAGCTGGTAGAACTTGAGGTGGAGCTCCTCAAATCCCTGTTTAAACAGGTCCCGCAGGCCGTAGTCAAACATGATCTTCACCAGGACACAGAAGGCTTGCTCCTCGGGCATCTGGAGGACAGACATTTCAGTCACATACCAACTACTCATCAATCGGGCAACTACTGCTTGTTGGAAAACGATGTTGTAAACAACATGCTGGCATACTAGAGTTAAATGAACACAAAGAATGTGGTAAGCACATTGCACTGGGTAGCCATGTTATTAGCCTGGGGCACCAGGCTACAACATGGGGCGCTGGGGACATACTTACATGCAGTAGTAGTGCAGCAGCAAGGAATGAGAGGCCCTGGACGTAGCCGATCTCCTCGTCATAGATAGCATATGCCTGAAATACAATCAAGTCAACATCAGTTCACACACAACATGTGATCAATCGGTGGGTCATTTTTCTCTGGAGTATCCGTCAGTAGAGATTGTATTCAGTTTATTTGTAGTGCCTGTGCCAACAACTGATTGAAGTCAGCACTCGACAGCAGCGAGGAACTGGGATTTCAAGTAACCCCTGGTTGTGACAAACATTGATTGTGCAAGAAGTTTTGGATGAGGCAGTTCTAGAAGGATGGCTGCACCCATATATGAGCAACAAGAGGTGATTCAAAGCCTTTTTTTATAGTGTCTTCCCTACTTTCCACGATTAAAACCTGAGTGGTCCTTATCCTTCCTACATACTGGTCACATGAGGCCCGACTGACTCACCTTGCTGATCTTGAAGAGAGAATCCTGTCCAAGACCTCCCGACTCCTTGAAGAAGTCATGAGCAGGGAATGTACGGTTGATGTCTCGCTGGATCACCGGCTCACACGCAGACTCCTGTGACAACGAGGAACAATGTATATAGCACAAACAGGTACATTACAGACATAAACTTTCTTGGAATAACTTGTTTAACGCCACACTCAGCAATATTCCAGCTATATGAAGGCAGTCTGTAAATATATCATAGTAGGGACCATGGGGACTTACAGTAACGTGGTATCCCAGCAGGATTTACACCATCCCTCTGGCTACTGGTGATTGTTAGTAAGTTAAGCCAACAATTAAAACTTTCAAGCATGCTACGATTGAAACTATGGTAGAATGAATGTACTTTGAATGTCTTAACAGTCAGGAACGCCACACCACAATCTGCTCCAATCATAATATTTCATACCAATTCAACCACAAATGCTTCCGAGTAGCATCAATAGTTAAATGTTTTGAATAAATCAGCAATAATCCTTAGTTTCATTTCGCAACGTTTCCAGGAAACTTTTCTGTAACTAACACGATACACACCAAACTACTAGGGCTGGTACGGGTAACTTGGGTACTCGGGTACTCGGGTACTCGGGTCGGGTGGGTACTGAGAAGGACCCGGGTACCCACAGGACTACCCGGACCCGTGATTAGTCATGTGATATATTATTTAATGACAAAAATTATCTACAACTGAAGATGGTTACATTACAGGTCACTGATGTTCGCATTTCTTTCCGACTGTGCACCCATTCCTTCTGACTTTTATGTTTGAATAAAGATAAACTTCAGTCAACTTCCGTGTAGGCATGATATATGTGTATCTTTATACATTTTGTCCAGGGCTACGGTCAAACTACTCCCAATCAGACATTGTGTATCTAACTCTTGAGACCTACAGCGGGTACCCGGGTAGGGTAAGGTAATAGGGGGCTGGGTACCCAGGTAGTAAATTTGTACTCATCCCAGCCCTACAAACTACACCTACCTTGGTAATGAGAATCCGGTACGCCTCCAGAAGTTCACTGCTGTCATGGCAACCAGTGATGAGCTGCCACACCTCCCCGCGGAGAGCCTCAGGCACACCCTTCCGTGCCAGGTGCGTCACCTGTTTGGGGCGCTGTGTGAGGTTGGCGTGCCACTTGGTGAGGACATCGTGCCAGGCGTCCAGCAGGTTCTCATCTGTCACCTCCTTGCTCACCACCCCAGACCCGCTCAGCAGCGGCTCATCACCATCTGGGAGAGGACACGATAGGCATCAGCACAAACACATTATTAACTGACCCACTCAGCAGCGGCTCATCACCATCTGGGAGAGGACACGATAGGCATCAGCACAAACACATTATTAACTGACCCACTCAGCAGCGGCTCATCACCCTCTGGGTGAGGACACGATAGGCATCAGCACAAACACATTATTAACTGGCCCGCTCAGCAGCAGCTCATCACCATCTAGGAGAGGACATGATAGGCATCAGCACAAACACATTATTAACTGGCCCGCTCAGCAGCGGCTCATCACCATCTGGGAGAGGACATGATAGGCATCAGCACAAACACATTATTAACTGGCCCGCTCAGCAGCGGCTCATCACCATCTAGGAGAGGACACAATGGGGATCAGCCCAAAGACATTATTAACTGACCCACTCAAGGTTGTATCAGGGTTGTCGGTCCATCACTCCACCCTTATCCTTGTGAGAGATCGACCTCCACTACCTGTGATCTTGGAACATGCTCTGGATGTCTCTGGGTTATCTATCCATCATTACAGCTTTGAGAGAGGTCGACCTACCTGCAGTATTGTCTGGATCAGGTCTGGGATGGTTTAGAGTTATGTATCTATCATTTCACTCATTAGAGAGAGCTCGACCTATCTGACTCCTGTGGTGTCTGGGCCAGATCCAGGAATGTTTAGGGCTAAGATTCCCAAATTTCACTCTTTAATGAGAGCTCAACCTACCTGATTCCTGTGGTTTCTGGGCCAGATCGAAGACTGTTTAGGGTTAAGATTCCCAAATTTCACTCTTGAGGGCTCGACCTACCTGACCCTGTGGTTTCTGGGCCAGATCGAAGACTATTTAGGGTTAAGATTCCCTGATTTCACTCTTTAGAGAGAGGGGGACCTACCTGACTCCTCCTCTTGCTGTGGTGTCTGGACCAGATCCAGGACTGTTTAGGGTTCAGATTCCCTGATTTCACTCTTTAGAGAGAGGTGGACCTACCTGACTCCTCCTCTTCCTGTGGTGTCTGGACCGGCTCAGGGATGTGCTTGCTGCTGCTCAGACTGAGGCTCATGCCGGTGCTCTTCCTGTCCATCTCCGTCTGGCTCTCCACGTGGACAACCTCAAAGTTGGCGCCATCATGGTTATTGCCTTCAACCTATGGACAAGTGATCCATCCAGGAGTTGGGAAACATATTTTGTGCCATAAATGCCATAATTTCAAAGATCACATAACAAATGTGAACTGTCATTATCAGTTATATTAGCATTGTATTAAATTAGCAATGAAACAAAAAGGTGCCAAGACGACCTGCTGCCTGCTCATTCACTAATCTTGTGTATTCAATCAATATCATGGCTAGGGTCTACAAGAATAGGCTAGGCACACAAAAACCATGGATCAGTCAGCGACTTTAGACACTAGTCCAAAGCCAGTCTAGTCAAATCCTGTTTGAACTAGTATGATAAGCTTAGAAAATACATATGATAACACTAAACTGTACTACAAATGATGCTGGGAGTCACGTTCAAGATTATTACACTTACATAGCGACATGCATGCATGTGTGTGTGTGTGTGGCTTCTTGTACTAGTCTGGACTAATGCTGGTTTTATAGTGGTAGTTCACTGAGAATCCATGCCACAGTTTAACATGAATACCCCACTCAGACACAGTATACTGATTTATACCATCTTTAAATGTCTTTCAGTATGGCCAGAGATCGAACAACCGGGCTTCCACTCTCCAGGCACACATTCTATCCCTAGACCACAGAGCAAGTCTCAGCTAAGATGATACGACAAGGACTGTAGTGCCTACCTGTTTCAGTCTCACATGGAATTGTTCAAAGTGGGGTTTCTTGGTGAAGTACCAGAATCGCTCATTGGAAGGATAGATGCGTGCTTTGGTCTCCACTGCAAACCTGACTGGTTCCTGAATACCAAAGATCACCAGGTCGACAGCCACCGTAAGGAACACTCGTGTATCTGAAACACACACACAGAACAAGAACATGTAAAAACTAGTCAATAATGAATATAATCCAGGTTCAAAATTAAGATAAGTTATTACAAGCATGAAATACTCATATCACCCGCCAATATGACATGTCTGGTTGTGTGCATGGCAAGAAATATTGCAGGTTTTCAAGATCTGCTCTGGAAATGAGCACTACCACCTTTTTCAGACTAAGTCAGAGTTGTTGCCATGGAAACTAGAAAAATTATTTTTTTTAAATCCCAAACTATCAAAAGGCACCAGTTCACCACTAGACCTATATGTGTGCCAAGTTTGGTTAAGATTTATCTCATGTTTTTTAGTTCTGCTCCGGAAACAAAACTGACTGACGGAAAGACAGAAGGACGGACGGACAGCACCTATTCCTATATCCCCTTTCCACTTCGTGGCGGGGAAAAACAAAATTTGGGAAGGACTAATGACATTTCCTTGTGAGATACCACTCTTACCGTCAAGATGGCAACTGTGTATGTTCATTCATTCATCCAAGTCCAGATTATATGTCGGCAGCTTCACAAGCAGATGGCGCAAACGAACCGAGTTACCTCCCTTTACCCAATGCATTCAAATAAACATCAGTTCATTTCAGAAACTCAACAATATTTAAGCGAAATAAAAAGTTACCTAAGATGGGTTCCATTTGATTTGAAACAGGCAAATTGGAAAATAATTGCCTGCTACTTAACCAATCAAAAGCTAATATTTTGATGTAAGGTAAGATAAGGGACCAGTTCAAAAGTTTGATGTCGAATAAAAAACTTAAAGTCCCCCACACCACACCCAATAAAATTAATTCAGAAAATGTTGAATTCTGGAGTTTCATGGCCTCTTCTGTCAAGCATTTTTGTGTTTTCCCCTCCTTTTTCTGATTGTTTATCGACTGCAGTTTACTTTCTAGGTGTTGAAATCATTTGTAGTGTTTTTATAGATCAAATCTGCCATTCAATATTATGCACTGCCCCAGATGGACTTAACACAATTGCCAGTGATGATAAAATCCTACCATGTGAAAGACTGATTGTATTCATGACAATTCCTTACAGTACATAAATGAAAACAGGATCAGTTAAGTTTAGTTACTACATAAAATCAGGGAGCCTGATTTGTCGGATGGAAAACTTGCAGGACAATCCCCTACTCCAAAACTTTAGGAAGTAAGCTTTTTATCCTACATCAAACTTTTGAACTGGTCCCTTATCTTACCTCACATCAAAGTATATAGGGAACACGTATCTCACCTTTTGGCGTCTCCTCGTTCAGCACAAGGAAACACTTCTCGCTGGGATCCCACTGCCCTGAGATGGTGTAACTGCGGCCATCACCAGCATAGCCCATCGAGTTCTGAAGCATCAGTGCAAAACATACAACCTCAATGTCATACAGTTTTCAGGGATTTATCCAGAGCTTCTGACGGGCTGATGTTTGGCTCCAAGTCTGCAGCAAATGTCCGTAAGAATTCCCAAATTGGAATGACAAATTATTGTCAAATAGTAAACTAACGATATGGCTTTGTAGAGGTGGCTTGTATGTACTGTATACCAATTTCAGCAGAATGAGGATTTCTGATTAAATGCAATGTTTTTATACTTACGTGACGCTACACCTATAGCACTGTGTAGAGTCAGGTAAGGTAAAACACAATGTGTTTCAAGGGAAATAATATCATTTATACTTATCCTGGCTCATATGAATTGCTTATTTCCTCACATTTTAAAGGTAGTGGAAACAATCGGTGCTGTGTTCCAAGAGAACAGAAAAAACATCTCACCGAAACACACAGGCCCACCCGAACCACGTGACCAATCCAGTTGACTTGTCACTGTCTCCATTTTCCTACTTAACAGCCCAAAACACAGCAGGGAGAGCAGGGAGGGTTGGGAGGGTATGTAAGTGTATGAGTCCGGATACTCATAACGAGTAAAATCCTAGATATTTTTTTCATATTTGTATACTTATCCTGCATTACTCATTAATGCATTTACTGCTTGTTCCGGACAGAGAGAAAGAGCTGTGAGAGGTCTTGCTGAAGAGTGAGTGAGTGAGTGAGTTTGGTTTTACGCCGCTTTTAGCAATATTCCAGCAATATCACGGCGGGGGACACAAGAAATGGGCTTCACACATTGTACCCATGTCGGGAATTGAACCTGGGTCTTCGGCGTGACGAGCGAACGCTTTAACCACTAGGCTACCCGACCATCCCTCTTGCTGAAGAAGTTCTGTCAACTGGTTGTGTGGCTAACCCTATCCCACAGTTCCCATGTGAAGGCAATTACGAATCTTTTTCAAAGTTAACACCACTGACCTTCATACTTGCCCAAGGGCAACTAAATCATATTTTCCCACTTGCCCACACTTTATTTTCATTGGTCAGGTAGGTCGGGCATACTAAATGAACGCCCATGATAGCTTAATGCTGCAGTCAGAATAGGTCTTTTATCCCAAACAATTAACACTGCAGATTCATGAAAATTTACGTTGTCTTGGTATGTGCTTGGTATAGCACATTATCAGCGATGTCAATATCTGATCTGGATATAGATGACTACTATGACAAGGATAGGTTAAGAGCCATGTCTCAAGTTTTGTTGATGGTTACCAAGGTTACTTACCAACTCAATAAGCTGCATATCACTGTGTTTAACATTCCTCCCAGGGGAGATCAAAAGCCCAAAACATCTGAAAACAAATAATATATGTTAATTTCAATCATTTTCAGATGTATTTTTCAAAATATGTTTAAATGGTTTGATTTTTTGGTTGAATAATGCAATATATTCCATCTTAAATGATGGCAGACTGTAAACAATCAGATCTGATCCAGACAAACCAGTGATTGATATTATGAGCAACAATCCCTGCCATCAGGGCTACTGAAGACCAGCCAATCCAACAAATCGCCTCTTACAATCATTGGTTGCTGGAGACCTATTCTTTCCCAGAATGTTCACAGGGATTTTCTAAACAAAAATGTTCAAAAATAGCCTTTACCCTCAGAAAATATATTTTTACTTTCGTAAAATTTTGGTGAGACTTGTATGAAAAGTTGGACATAATTCGTTCTTGCTTAAATTTGCAATTATGAAGTCAGTAAACATGCAGACTTATGTTGTCTCATTCCAATCTCACCGTTCAATCTTGAGTTCAATTGGACCAGTGTGAGTCACACAGATGCTGATCCTCTTCTCCACGTTAGAGCGGAACTTGAACACTGACTTATCCTTTGGCACAGCAGAGTAGTTCCCCTTGCCATCATCTTCCTTGAACTCGATGCCCACAGTGAACACATAGTTCTGATCAGCCTCCGGCAATACTGCTACAGCTGTTGTCCGCGTACTCCGAGGAACTCGCCGGAATGTTGTTGCGAAGCTGTACAAGATCTTGGCCACCTACAGTGAGTGAGTCAGTACATGAGTGAGCCCTTAGTTTGTTTGACTGTCTACCGCCTCACACAGTAATATTCCAGCTATATGATGGCGGTCTGTAAATAATCGAGTCTGGACCAGACAATCCAGTGATCAACATCATATGCATCGATCTACACAATTGGGATATGATGACATGCCTCAACCAAGTCAACGAGTCTGACCACTGGATCCCTTTAGTCACATCTTACGACCAGCATTGTCGCCTTTTACAGCAAGCATGGGTTGCTAAAGACCTATTCCAACCCAGATCTTCACGGGTAGATTGAGCCTTTAACAGCAGTAAGCTGATACAAGTCCGATTGATCTTCAGTATGAGAAAAGCCCAAAATAAAATACATATATGCAATGGTGATTTACAATGTCTGCAAGAGTGAATTTTGTTTAAATTGCAGATTGCAGTGATTGATATTATGAGCATCAATCTTTGCAACTGGGATATGATGACCTGCATCAACCAAGTCACTGAGTCCCATTAGCTGCCTCTTACGACAAGCATGGGTTGCTGAAGACCAATCCTAACCCAGATCTTAACAGTTTCAACAACTTACTGCTTCTGGGAGGTCGCATCGAAACACATGACACTGGAAAATGGCGGTTTCGGCTGTATCGCCATGGCTGCACGTGAATGCAAAGCACTTCTTTTCGCTACTGTCAGTGGGCCCTCGTGCACAGAACAGAATGCGGTGAATACGGTAACTGGCAATCTCTGTGTTGCTTGCTGGATCGATCAATCTGAAACAAAGGTCAAGGTCAGGTTACAGCCATCCTTGGGTCAGGCTTCCCTACTGAGTTCACTTTAGGTTCATTGCATTTCAAAATCTTATAGTGAGTGAGTGAGTGAGTGAGTTTGATTTTGCCGCTTTTAGCAATATTCCAGCAATATCACGGCGGGGGACACCAGAAATGGGCTTCACACATTGTACCCATGTCAGAAATCGAACCCGGGTCTTCGGCGTTACGAGCGAACGCTTTAACCACCAGGCTACCCGACCGCCCCTCAAAATCTAATACACATATCACTAACGCAATGATATTATATATGAATCAAATAATATCACAAAATAAACATAACATACATCGGTCAGTTTTGATTAGCATATTCAATAATATTTGAAAGTCTTTTCTTGACAGTGTGTTTTGTAAACTAAGGTAACATCAACATGATAACGATGACTACTGATACCAAAATAATAATCGGATATGATTCGCCAAGCTGTTCTCATGATCTGATAAGTCCACAAGTTAAATTCATGATCAGAGAGTCTACAAATTGTTTTCTTGATCTCGTAGTCCACAAATTGTTTTCATGATGTTTGTCCACATTGTTTTCATGATCTGATAGTCCGCAAAAGAAACGCAAGTCAACTTTTTTTTTGTAAAACGCACAAAATAGTAATTTGTACAAAGAAATGTATACAAACGTAAAGAGACGCATTGAAGAAACACTGTTCATGGTTTACATCATTCATTTTGAGCATGTCACAGGAACACAGTCGTTTTGTCATGTTTGACATTTTTTGCACGTGCAGAAGCAAGTCACATGTAAAAATGTGTACATTTTCCCCTTTGTCCAACCTTTATAAGCCACCATATAAAAAAACACCAAGCATTTCACACTCCACATTGAAAAAGGACAGGAAACATGGTCCGATTAACTGATCTCCAGAGAGGCGTTGCCATTGAGATGCTACAGGCCAGATCAACGTTAACTGCAGTGGAGAGGCACTATGGATGTCCTGTGTCTACCATCACCAGATTGGTCGCAAGGCATCAACAGACAGGCAGTGTCCAAGACCGGACTTGTTGCGGACAGCCGAGGGTTACTACTCCAGCACGGAACCGTTACATCTAAGTGACCACACAGACAGCTGCAACCATTCAAGGTCCACGTCTTCCCGTGTCAGCTGACACAATTTGTTGTCTTAGAGCGGCGTGAATCAGGTGTCGTCAGCCTTACGTTGGGCCCAAACTCAACATCACTGCCAACAACGTCTGCAGTGGTCAAAACAGCACCTGCGTTGGCAACGACAACCGTGGCAACAAGTTATCTCCTCAGACAAATTAAGGTTCAACCTTTCTCACACTGATGGATGCCATTCGTGACCAACTCGTGTCATTCCGGGACAAGCCGAATAGCGACTCGTGCCCCTCTCATGGCCATTTTTGCGACCGGGTTCCGTCTTAGCGCAAACGGGCATACCTAAAACAATTGTCAACTCGTTGCGTAATGGTTCACATATATTTCCCCATATATTATATATATTTTAGATGCAATTTAAAGCACATCGGGACATGCGGGGTTTTACAGTATGATTGACCACATTTAACTGTGTCTTTGGTATATTTTTAGATGTAAGACGTAAGTTAAATTAAAAATTGTTTCTGAGGGATTATTTGACGAAGAACTTGAAATCATACGCGCATTCTGATTGGTTTGTCGTATTTTCGCACATAACATTCGTCGATAGGGGGACGAGTCTTCTTGCAGGTTACGGAAAGGGGCGAGTGGTGACGAATGCGATGGATGCATCAGTGCGGAGACCACATAATGAGCGTTACGTGAACTGCTGTGTTCGGTGGGGAGGAGGAAGCATCATGGTGTGGGGAGGCTTCAGTTATCACAGGACCCCCCTACGCGTGTTCCGTCAGCGTCTAACTGCTGTCGTGTACAGGAATGGAGCCTTCTTCTGAAGACTTGTCGACTCAATGAGATGACGTGCGACCAGTATCACAGCTAACGGAGGCCGCATTTTATGTACAACTTGCGTTTCTTTTGTGGTTGAGTATATGTACTGCATTATTCAATGTCTTAAAGTAAATACGACAAGAATTTCTGGACTCGAAAAAAAAAATTTCTTGGTTTTCTTTGACTTGTGGTAACATCATATATCATACAATTTACTATGAATCATCAGTCTCGTGTAATAATTATGTGTCACTGACATATCATGCAAAATATCAAGACATGGCATCATGACATTTCTGGATCACTTCCGCCCTGTAAACAACGGACACTAATGATGTTAGTACATTCCATGAGTTATCCCCAGGGTTTCTCATGAAGCAGGCGTTCTGCATTACTGATGCAATTTTCATGCTAAATACTCCTAAATACATTTTCACAATATTTGACTCAACCTATTTTTACCACTCAGTACCAGCATGACTAGACTAACATTTAGTCTATGAAATCTTATATTAAACAATACCCTTCTTGACCCCAAAAATAAAAAATAAAATTCCTATGCTGATTAGATCTGGCTAGACGTGCTTTTGTATGCCATACCATTTATAAAATGAATATATTCCACAGTCATGGTGCAGGACTACAGTGTGACCAGTTCCTGCATAAACATCACAGGGAATGTTAGCAGTTACCCCCACAATACATTAATTAATAGAATTTCATCAAACATTTTATCATGTTTTATATGTACATGTATCAAATATATGTGGAAAATATTTTGAAAGAACCTGTTCAAGGCATCTTTGTAAGTTGAATGTCTATGGTTGTGATTTGCATTAAGCAGGAAGAATTGGTCAGACTACGACTACGAGGGAAGGGAAGACACATAGTGACTTTCTTTGTCTCGAGGTACTCTAGGTACTTGGGTCACTAAAAGAATGTGAGGTTGGCTGTAGCATTCACACTTTAGGCTAAAATAATAAATTTTTCTTCCAAATCTTTCAAAATGTGATGTGGTATATAATTTATGTTTATTTTCTTCTAATGAACAAACTGTTAAAGGTATCTGCAAATGCACAGTCAATAAATGTTTGATAGGACTTTGTATACGTAGTGAGGTGAGGTGAAATGGGATTTAACATCGTGTTCAAGATTATTGCACTTATTTAGATCTTTAAACGTCTTCACGCATGACGCAGCCAGGGATCGAACCCCCGACCTTCCACTCTCTGGATTCGCTGTGCAGAGTTGCATCCCTTGGGCACACCAGAAACCTATGATTGTGGGTTCGATTCCCATTCACCCCAATTATGTTTCTAGGTTTGTCAGCACCATACCCATGCTCGTGGGTTTCACCAAAGTGGTAAACATCTGAGACCTGCATCACTTCGGCTTTCCTCCTACATTAAGCTGACACGCCGTGATATAACTGGAATACTGTTAAAAGCTGCGTTAAACCCAACTCACTCACTCCACTCTCTGGACAGATGCTCTACCACTAGACCAGGTAGGCGGTCTGTATACGTAGTATTTCATCAAGCATCAAAAGAAGAGAAACACACGTGAAACTTTCTTTATCTGCAGGGACAATGAATTGATGTGAGGAAGGTTGCTGAGGAAGGTTGCTGAGGAAGGTAGTAAGGGGAGCAGAAACAAAATTATTTATTTTTCATTATTACAATTATTTAATCAACAGAATGTCTGTCATGTCTATGTAATTTCCTGTTTTCAATATCATGTGGACTAAAAATCAAATTCAGTCATGACTCTCAAAAAACTATTCCATACTTTCATTGGTTAGGTGAAACCCTATAACCCTGTTAGCAATATACAATTAATGCATCCATGTTCTAATCTACATATAAAGATTCCCTGTTACCATGGTTATTAGGACCCAGTAGAAACATTCCTGGTGACATAGGTAATAGGTTCCACATACATATTTTCACCATGGTTACTTCATATAAACATAGTAAACACATCCAATGCACTTACCCCAGATTTTGTACATGTGCTTTCTACATCTACAAAGATTATACCATGTTACCATGGTGACTGCAAAATTTGGTATCAATAGTCGCCAGTGAAATATTGGTTATTGTGAAAGACTAACCTTTGTTACCATGGTAACATCAACAATATTAGGTGTCAAAAGTGGTCGTGGTGAAAAGATTAGGCAGGCATGCAAATGAATATAAATTGAAAACAGATGTGCAAAAAAATCAGAAGGAAAGCGTAAAACAAAATCCAAAATACTGACTTAATGACAACACACAACACACAACAACACAACAGCACAACTTGACAACACACAATGGTGAAATGTAGACGCCAGTATTAGACAAAGGCATCATATGGCCTCGTGGAGAGAACCTATTTCCTCTACATCACGCTGCACTGTATCCTCAGAAATAGTTCTTTATGCTGTTCCACAGAAGTGTGTGAAACTTTTCATCATAATTTGAAAGCACATCCAAAGAATCGTTCTTAATATTTTCTCACAAACTGTGTAAATTACTTGAAAAATCAATGTAACATAGTTTGCATAAATTAAAAGCTAACCAGCTATACCTTCGATTTTACAATAATATTATCTACTATGAAAATGTTCATCTTACACATGGCTGATTTTTTGTGTGAGCAAAAATATGCAAAATTTGACAGTACTAGTCTGAAAAGTATGACAAGGATCGTGTTTTGGACTTAGTTTGAAGGCGCAAAAAAGCAAAGCCCCCAATTTCATATCTGTTCATATAGAGAACACCCCTTGGTAAGTCTAACAGTACTAGTCTGAATACTCAATAGCATTACAACGGTTGTGTTTTGGACTTGGTTTTGAAAGGCGCAAAAAAGCAAATTTCCTAATTTGATATCTGTGTGGAGAACGTCCCTAGCCAAGTCTAAAAGTACAAGTCAATAAAGTATTACAAGGGTTGTGTTTTGGACTTGGTTTTGAAAGGCGCCAAAAAAGGCAAATTCCCCAATTTGATATCTGTGTGGAGAACGTCCCTAGCCAAGTCTAAAAGTACAAGTCAATAAAGTATTACAAGGGTTGTGTTTTGGACTTGGTTTTGAAAGGCGCCAAAAAAGGCAAATTCCCCAATTTGATATCTGTGTGGAGAACGTCCCTAGCTTTGTCTTGGTCAGCTGACTAGAGCATGAAGCAAACTCAAAGTAGCAAGCATGAGAGTCACTGAGACAGTGGAACCAAGCATAGGGGCATACCGAACCATTCCATCGGCAGGGCTGCAACAAAGTAGAAAGCCATCAAACGTAGTTACCATGGAAACAGAACAAACTATTAGAAATATAGTGTATGTTATCTTTATATCTACATACGTTATGTTAACATGTTAAATTTGGTATGTATTAACGGTTTATGTATGGAAACATGGAAACAGAACAAACTATTAGAAATATAGTGTATGTTATCTTTATATCTACATACGTCATGTTAACATGTTAAATTTTGTATGTATTAACGGTTTATGCATCAGATTTATAATTCTGTACACAATTCACGTTCCTTCTCTTAATGAACTATTAAAGCCACTTCATAATCATTCTTCCATTTACATGACGCAATCATTGTCTTTATTGTTCATACAATTCTTAAAATGTTGAAATTTTGTCTAAACCTCTTATATTGTCTAGCAGAGCATGTTAGCATGGTTACAACTAACAGGTTACTTTGAAACGGTTTTGTCATTTCAAACTCAGGAATTTCTTTCAACACTATTTCAAGATTTGTCTAGTTTCAAACAACAGCCATGTTTAAATGATAAATCCAAGCTTACTCAGTAGACTAAAAGAAATCACTGAGAATCTTCTGGAATCAAAATGGCTACAATTACAATGAAACTATATTCTGATCATTAACATGATTCAACCGATGTATTTTTTTTAGATTTGAAAGCAGATAATTCCTGTTTGGTAAGATCCAATTTCAGCCATGTTTACTGTGTGCATCACTTTCGAATTCTTAGTCTTATCGATATAACTGAGTATACATCATACATACTACAGAGACAGCAGTACACGAGACCATCAAACAAATTTAGTACTTACGGAAATTAATACAACTCAAGAACACCACCAAAAAACAGATACTAAAAAATAATCTTGCATGCAAAAATGTTTGCACAAAACATTGACACCATAATCACTGATAATTAAGGAGCTAATTCTTGGACACGGTACACTAATCTCGGTCATACGACTTAATATTTACTTGTCAAACTGGTGTCACCATGGTGGAGAAGAATGAAAATTGGAATTGTTGGAAATTGGCACCTCAAAACAGCAGTCTGCAACTTTTGCACCAGTCTGAAGACCAAGTCCAGTAAAATTCTGTTTGGTCTAGAGTGAGTATGACTTTACACTGCTTTTAGCAATATTTCAGCAATATCGCAGTGCGGGACACAATAAATGGGCTTCGTTCTGTCTTGTAAATTCAGCAAATAATAATCCAAATAACTCCAAAGACTCAAATTTGAAATGATACGAAGAGCCAAGCATGACGCGAAAATTTTGGGCACAGACTGAATCAATATTAAATATTCACATGGCAGTTTTGTTCCAACGTATTTTCCTGCGTTTAGATGTAGAATAATTCATTGTGTCGCAATCCTAACCAAAATAACAAAAGTCTTTTCAATCCTACACTGTATTGCTTCCTACACATGTAATCACATATCACTCTTAGGGCCATAACACGAAAACATAACTGATGATAGCACAACAACCAAACCATCTAATATCCCATACTGGGTAAAATCACTCCAGCGTGTACTTAATCTACGTGTACCCTCTCAGGTCTACCTGGCATACAGCTACCGTATCAAACACATCATGTCACCATGGCAACAGCATATAAGGAATGGAAGTTGACAGTTGATTTGTTTTATTCCAACAGACAAAATTTTAGTTAAATTTCATAGCTTTGGTTTATTATTATTATGCTCAAGATAGTCTCGAAAAATGTATTCAACTCAATAAATATGTGAATCTTTTTACTGTCATGTAGCTTCAAAACATATGAATTACCAAACAATGTTAAAGAGTAGGATGTCATTCTGTAGATCATAGCGTATGAACTGTTTTAGTCAACTTCCATGTCGTATTTACTGTAACCTTGATCTAAGGGGGATAACTGGCTTACCCTACAAATCCCTCAGATGTACTGGGCACGGTGAGGGTGACATGGATCGCCATCTGTGATTGGTCGTTGAGTACTGCCATGTTGCGGTAGATCTCCACCTCGCTGCGCGGCGCATTGACTGTAGCACAGCCGAGGTAGGTGACTCCATCGAAGACTGTACAGTCCGTGCCGGGAATTGTGGGAAGAGAGGTCGATCGGCCACGATCTGAAGAGAAATATTTATCATCTCCATAGAATATTGTATTTTACTAATTTCGAGTGAGAACACTTAAATATCAATTAGTCACATTGCAGGCCATCTCACACGTAAGGGACATCATAGTCATAGATGTTACAAGGTGGTGCTTGTTGTTACCCTTCCTGGCACTCGGCATCAAGGGGATGAAACAAGGACTGGTCGGCTCAGAGTCAGTTTAATGTGTCAGGGTGTGTGAGTGAGTATGCCGCTTTTAGCAATATCACAGCGCAAATGAAGCTATGATAGATGAGTGCTCCAGAGTGAGTGAGTGAGTGAGTGAGTGTGTGTGTGGGTACGCCACTTTTAGCAGTATCACAGCGGGTAACACCAGCAATGGGCTTCACACATAGTACCCATGTGGGAAATCGAACCTGGGTCTTTGGCGTTATAAGCAATTGCTTCAACCACTAGGCTACCCCATCACCCCCTTAATCATAGTAGAATACAGATATCATACACAAGAATACTGAGTAAATATGGTAAACATTTGATACAAAAATCATCAACAACAACAAAATTCCTGATGGTAAAACAAGGGTATACTCATCCATGAAACAAGAAATGTTTCAAAAGATCTCTCACAATAGTGGCAAACACGGCTTGGACAATTTTTGTTTGTTTGTTGGCTGTTGCCACACTCAGCAATATTCAAGCTAAATGATGGTGGTCTGTAAATAATTGAGTCTAGACAAGACAATCCAATCCAGTGATTGACACCATGAGCATCGATCTATGCAATTGGTCATTTGGTCTTAAGACAAGTATGTGTTGCGGAAGACCAGTTCTAATCCAGCTCTTCACAGGTTGGTTGGACATACAGGCACATATACTCACTTGCAGTAATCTGATTGAGACCAGCGTCTGCAGACCCCAGGCCCATCACAGACATGTTCTCCGAGTGACTGATGGGCCCTGTGATGTTGGACGCATCAGGGATGAGGACATCAGCCGACTGGCTGCCACGGATCGCATGCTCAACCTTCTCCAATTCCATGCCATTTTGTTCGGGAGTGGTTGCAGCAGACGCAGCCATCTTGGGGGATAGGAACTTGCCGGCACCAACCTCTTCGTCTAGGTCGTTAATATCACCAGTCAACTTGAACTTTGGGTCAGCGTTGACAACCACAAAGTCATCACCTGTTGAGGAGGAATCCACGGACTCTCGGCTCACGGCATCCTCCATATCAGCAGTGCAGTAGAGTCGTGATCATAGTCGGGGCAGGGAGCTGAAACCATGGAAACAGTATAGTCGTGATCATAGTCAGAAGAGTGGGCAAGGAGCTGAAACCATGGAAACAGTATGGTTGTGATCATAGTCAGGGTAGGGAGCTGAAACCATGGAAACATAATAGAGTTGTGATCATAGTCAGGGCAGGGAGCTGAAACCATGGAAACAGTAGAGTCGTGATCATAGTTGGGGCAGGGAGCTGTAACCATGGAAACATAATAGAGTTGTGATCATAGTCAGGGCAGGGAGCTGAAACCATGGAACACAGCAAGGTTGTGATCATAGTCAGGGCAGGGAGCTGAAACCATGGAAACAGTAGAGTCGTGATCATAGTTGGGGCAGGGAGCTGTAACCATGGAAACATAATAGAGTTGTGATCATAGTCAGTGCAGTGAGCTGAAACCATGGAACACAGTAAGGTTGTGATCATAGTCCGGGCAGGGAGCTGAAACCATGGAAACAGTAGAGTCGTGATCATAGTTGGGGCAGGGAGCTGTAACCATGGAAACATAATAGAGTTGTGATCATAGTCAGGGCAGGGAGCTGAAACCATGGAACACAGCAAGGTTGTGATCATAGTCAGGGCAGGGAGCTGAAACCATGGAAACAGTAGAGTCGTGATCATAGTTGGGGCAGGGAGCTGTAACCATGGAAACATAATAGAGTTGTGATCATAGTCAGGGCAGGGAGCTGAAACCATAGAAACAGTCGAGTCGTGATCATAGTTGGGGCAGGGAGCTGTAACCATAGAAACATAGTAGAGTTGTGATCATAGTCAGCAGAAGGAGCTGAAACCATAGAAACAATAGAGTTGTGATCATAGTCGGGGCGGGGGCACGGGTGGCCCAGTCATCTAAGGCGCTGTGATTCGCTGTGCAGAATTGCGTCCCTTGGGCACGCCAGAAACCTATGAATGTGGGTTCGAATCCCGGTTCACCCCGATTATGTTTCTAGGTTTGTCAGCACTATACCCGTGCTCGTGGGTTTCACCAAAGTGGTAAACGTGTGAGACCTGCATCACTTTGGGCTTTCCTCCCACATTAAGCTGACACGCCGCGATATAACTGGAATACTGTTAAAAGCGGCGTTAAACCCAACTCACTCACTCACTCATAGTCGGGGCAGGGAGCTGTAACCATGGAAACAGTAGCATCGTGATCAAAGTCGGAAGATGAAATCATGAACATGATGGAAGCATAGTAGAGTCAAGATCACAGTTGTAGGGGAGCTAAAACCATGGAAAAATATTGGGGATATCAACTATAGACTTTCACATAAAAGCAGTGTTCGAAATAAGCACAGGCTCGTGACACGTAGATTTCATGGGGGCCATAGTTTCATGTTTGTATTGGTCCTCATAGCCTGCAGTAAATTTCTTTGTCACAAAAAGCTTTCTTTTTAAATAAGGGCCTGAAGTGTTTAGTTTGGACCTGAAGCTTCTAAACTTTCTAAAGTCTGTGGGTCCTGATGGCAGCCATCTTCCCGAGGCAAGGTTGTTAACTGACTAAAATTTCATGGTTCGATCGAAGTGCCACCAATGGTGATTACAGATTATGTCCCTTCTATATTCCTCCTATTGACCAATCAGATTCAACCTCTTTTTATCATAGCACCCAGTCAAGACAATCTGCTTGATAATCAAGATCTTTTTTTCTAATAAAATGGGTCTTATCTCACGAAGTGCATCAAATCACTTGGGAATCTTTATTAAAAACATGAACAGATTTGTAAACCATCTGTCGACGCCCATTTGACGGTACACATGCTCTGCAAATCCTGCAGTTGACACGGCAGTGGCAATGTTATTTTATTATGAACCAAATGTTATTTTATGGACCGAATGTCAATTTTGTTCTGCGATTTTGACTGGACTATGTATAGACTTGCTAGTCCAGCCAAAATCTAACTCCATCATTCCAGCCTAGTTTGGCAAGGGTGGAAACTGGGCTTTTAAAGGCAGTTACCTCCCTTGCCTCGGGAAGATGGATGGCAGCCTGACAAAATATTTGATCTCACACACTGCATAAAAGATCAGACACTTCAACAATGCGACTGCATATCAACATGAACACGATGAATCACAAATAACATCTATCCCAAATCATCAAAACACACATTTTAACATGTTTAATGATAGAACTTAATCTACTTGATGTACTATGTCTAATCAATCCAATTAACAGACTAAAGCTAATTAATAGTCATAAGTGCCAAGTACTCGCATATTATCATCATTATCAATGACCATATCACATCGAGACCTTGCCCTCAAGGTTTAGTATGACAACAAAGTGTACCATCTCAGGACTAGTACTATTGGTAGTGACATCAACATGATCAACAATGGCCAGAATCCACACACAAATAGACCCGTGAAGGCCGGGGGTAGAATAGGTCGTCAGCAACCCATGCTTGCTGTAAAAGGTGACTATGCTTGTCGTAAAAGGCAACTAACGGGATCGGGTGGTCAGGCTCACTGACTTGGTTGTTGCATGTCATCGATCCCAATTGCGTGGTTTGATGTTCATGTCAATCACTTAATTGTCTGGTCCAGACTCGATAATTTACAGACCACTGTCATTTAGCTGGAATATTGCTGAGTGCAGCGTTAAACAAAAAACAACCAACCAACACAGAAATGTGTGTCTAGTATGCAGAAATGTATAGAATGGACGCAGATAAAGATATATACTCCATCCCAAGGCATGCACAATAATATTCATTGTAATAAATTCTTGACAAGAAATATAATTGAAGTAATTATCAAATCTTACAGTACAGTACTCTACACCATTTTATTACTTTACAGGACCCTCATAATTTGTGTAAGGACCCTTGAAATTAGTAATTAGGGGTCCCCTGGACCCCTGTTTGTATGTCAAGGTAAACCCTGCCAAGTATTGGGTGGCAAGCACATGTTGTCTCCACTGTAAACTGTATATCCTATTGTCTCATGTCTGTACTGAGAGCCTTGAACACACCTGAGTTTCCTCATTCCACACCATCAAGAACTTTCCAAACACCTTGTGTTAACAATAGCATTGTTTACAGAGCAGCTGTTGTAGTGTGCAAGCTGCTTATCATCTCATTTCCTGGTTGAGGGGACATCTCAAAACTTACATGAAAATTCAGCAAGTTGAGTTCATGTAACTGAGCATTAACTTGATTGTTGTTTAATATCACACTCAGCAATATTTCAGCCATATGACGGCGGTCTGTAAATAAACAACTCTGGACAAGACAATCCAGTGATTGACAGCTTGAGCATCGATCCACGCAATTGGGATAAGATAACATGCATCAACCAAGTCAGTGAGGCTGACCACTTGATCCCGTAAGTCGCCTCTTAAGATAAGCATGGGTTGCTGAAGACTAATTCTAACCATGATCTTCACGGTTATCAAAACTGAGCATGAAAGTCACAGGGTCCTTGTCATAACCATACTTCTACAAGTTAAAGATTTAGTATAATTAGACTATTAGGGCCATGTTAGATTCAAATACCATAGAAGATGCTAAACATGCTAAAGGACCCGCTTACTTTTCAAACATTTGGAATCGCTCCCTCTCTGGCATCATGTTGGTTGGTTGGTTTGTTGTTAAACGCCGCACTCAGCAATATTACAGCTATATGACGGTGGTCTGTAAATAATCAACTCTGGACCAGACAATCCAGTGATTGACATCATGAGCATCGATCCACGGAATTAGGATACGATGACATGCATCAACCAAGTCAGCGAGCCTGACCACCCGATCCCGTTAGTCGCCTCTTACAACAAGCATAGTCGCCATTTACGGCAAGCATGGGTTGCTGAAGAGCTATTCTACCCCGGATCTTCATGGGTCTGGAAGTCACAGGGTCCTTGTCATAACTGTACTTCTTAAGCTTAAAGATTAAGCACATGTTAGATTCAAATACCATAGAAGATGCTGAAGGATCCACTTAATTTGGAATCCCCTTCCTCTCTGGCATCATGACGTCATCACTGGTCATACCACTGCCCAAACCTTGATCTGATCTTTGGTTATTATAAATTATATGCAAATATAAGTGAAATGAAACTTGGTGATTGAGTGAAGAAATTGGACATATATCAAGTATAGCCAAGTTGACAGAGTGTGAGTGAGTATGGTTTCACGCCGCTTTTAGCAATATCGCAGCAATATCACGGCAGGGGACACCAGAAATGGACTTCACACATTGTACCCATGTCGGGAATCGAACCTGGGTCTTCGGTGTGACGAGTGAAGGCTTTAACCACTGGGCTACCCGACCGCCCCCCAAGTTGACAGAACATAGTCTGAACTTGAATCAGATTCAGAATAGAAATTCCAGACACCTCCAACATATTCAACATAGATGCTGCAAATGAATTGATTTTAATAATTCATGGAGCCATACATTTTTGCATCACATGGGACATAGGGTGCATATTATCACATCCATTCTCAATGTTTTTATCACATCCATTCTCAATGTTTGAGCGTAAAAAATCGATTCTGAGCTTACTAGGGTTGACAAACCAATGGGATTTGCTGACACAAAATCTGCATAAAACATCCTTTACAAGCCCATAACTTTGCATGCTCCTTCCTCCATGTCATCATATCATGTTATACATGTGGATGTATGGCATCTCTGGTCATAGCGTGATACACAGCGTATACCATATACAGTATACACTGTCTAGCATCAACATGTCTTACAATGATATAACATTAGCATGATTGGCCTTTGGCATGTTAAGGACACGTTATGGTTTTCTGATTGTTTACTAACCAATAAGCATGATAAGCATTATGAGCATAGGCATGTTGGGTAGATCTGGCATGCTCTTTATCAAATGTCAGTTCTTATGAGTTGCTTAGTGGAACAAAATGTAATTCAGTTTTAAATGCAGGATGTTTACCTATTTTTTTAACAAATCACTTACTATCATCATATTTCTCATATTCAGCAAAGATAGTGTGGTAAGACAAATAAACTAAGTATTATCATTGTCATGTTATTTTAATTCATTCATTTATGTAAGCTTGTCAATAAGAGGTGACCATGGTGACTAACGGGATCGGGTGGTCAGGCTCGCTGACTTGGTTGATGCAAGTCATGGATCCCAATTCAAGAATTGAGTGGATCGATGATTATGATGTCAATCACAGGACTGTCTGGTCCAGACCGCTGTCATATAGCTGGAATATTGCTGAGTGCGGCGTTAAACAACAAACAAACAAACATTTATTTATCATTGTTTATGGATTAGGCAGTGCTGGGAATCTTGACTCTGTAGTATACATTCAACTAGTATACACACAACAGCACCTCCACTAAAGACAGGCGCCCACACGACAAATATTAATATGGCTGTTTGAAATTGTTGTCACAAAGCATTGACACCTCCCCTGATCAGTGTTGTCAAGTTCTCACATAACAAGAAGTAAATACTTCTGGAACCCGGAACTCATACCACCTCAATATGTGATAAAAATCATTTACTTCATACATTGTCATAAATCTATGAACTAATATATCAATGTATATCAGCAGTGAGCACAGTTTCTTGGTAACTCCACATGAGTGGCAGCTGCCAATATCCCTCTTAAACCTGGGTCCCGTCATGTTCAGGCCCTGAACATGGATTTGCCATAAGAATTTTAAACAGGGTAATTGTAAACAATGTTAAATCACATTGATATCTACAAGTCATAATCTTATTCTACAATCATCATAATCATCATGGCCATGATGTCTTAAATCCTGCATTCTGATTGATCCATCAGAGGTACTCTGGAATTTATCCAGACCTGCTCTGAGGCCTTATTCTGCAGCAAATGTAAATAAAAATTCCCAAATTAGAACTACAAATTCCAATTCATGTTATTTATTAATAACAAATGTTATCATTGGTTATGGTTTTGTAGAAGTAATTATTTCACACACCAATTTTAACAAAATATTGATGTATTTTCCCCCAATTGCCTTCCAAGGGCACTCAGTTCGGAATCTTGGGTAAATCCCTGGGTATTGAGTCAGTCAAGTTTACATGTGTAAATGTACATTTATCCCTGGCTATATATCATACCTACTATGTCATCAAAAACAGTATTTCTGAGTCACCAAGATATATATCAAGCATGCCATAATAATTTATGGCTTAAGCCGTGCCACTGACGCAATACACATAATGTCCTGGTATTGAATAACCACGTTAACACATGCATAACAAAGTGTCACAATCCTACCTGACAAGCTGTCCGAAGTCATCATCACGCTGTAACTATGGTAACCTAATACAAATCGCCACCAAATATCCTCCTTTGATTTTAACAAACTTCATCCACAGATATCTTCTATTTTTGCATAGAACATTTATATTCCTGTAACTGTCCAGTCACAGAATATACACAAACATATGTCTCTTTGTCACAGCTGTGAATTGAAGCCCACAAAACAATGACCACACCCTTGAATATACTCCACAATCATGATTGTAGAACTCATTGTTCCCAATAGGTTTTTTTGTATAACGGTACTATAATAACATGGGATGTCACTGGTATTAACCAGGCCAGTGTGTGTGTAACAGCTGTGGGTTGTATCAACCATCAGTCTGGGCTGGAAAAGTAGATCCAGGACCAGGGCTCACGTTACATCGTACACACGGATCCCATTACAAAACAACTCATATGACACAAGGCTGTAAACATTACCTCGATCACTTCCACAGTTCAGGAGAGATCAGGTTTGTCCACATGTATAATCATTACAACATCGTAATAACCAGAGTTACGGTGAACTCGTGACAGTGTCTCAAGGTTGTACACTGAAATTGTGACGATAACTTGTTTATTGTCTTCTGGCCTGGTTTTTGAAAATGAAAAACAAAACATCACACACATCATGAATATCATGAATACCATTGAATATAGAGTGTCTTTGATGTGTTACACAAAATGCAAATGATCTCAGCACATGCTTGTAAACACTCTGGGCGAAAAATGTTTGACCCAACTAGATATTCAGGCTTGTTGTGCATCTGCTTGTTGTTTGACGCAATATTCCAAGCTTATGACAGTGGTCTGTAAATAATCGAGACAATCCAGTGATTGACAACATGAGCATCGTTCCACGCAATTGGGATCAATGACATGCATCAACCAAGTCCGTGAGACTGACCAACCGATCCCGTGAGTCGCCTCTTACGAAAAGCATAGTCGCCTTTTACAGCAAGCATTGGTTGCTGACGACCTATTCTCCCCGGATCTTCAGGCTAGTGAAAAACCATTGTCAGTGATGTCACTAGCCCTGACTTTAGTTAACTAGCCTGTGGTACATCATTTGCATGTATCTCAAGCTTAACACAGGTTGCTAACATTTCTTAGTAATATGGTTTCAGAGCCATTGTATTGTATTGTATTGTACACACATCAAGTTTGCACTAACTAACAAATATTCAGATTTCAGTGATGTGTTTCATGTGTGGTGCAGCAAATGTTTAATGTTGCCTAGAATGTATTTTGCCTGTTCACTGTATTAGTTTCAACCGTTTGACAACAGATATCATTGACAAAGAAATTACCAGACGAATCAGTGAGTGAGTGAGTGAGCAAGGGGGACACCAGGCTTTACATAGTGTGTACCCATGTGGGTAATTTGAACCCGGGCCTTCAGTGTGACGAGCGAACACTTTTTCCACTAGGCTACCCCTCCGCCCCCATGACTGTATCATGTATATAGAGAGTATTAAAATACATACCCAGAACAAATAACACCTGTTCACCCGTACATCGGGTACATATCCTAGTGGTTCAAGTGTTCGCTCTTCACGCCGAAGACCCGGGTTCGAATCCCGACATTGGTACAATGTGTGAAGCCCATTTCTGGTGTTCCCCAAAGTGATATTGCTGGAATATTGCTAAACATGCTAAAAGCGGCGTAAAACCAAACTCACTCACTCACCATGCTCACATATCCACGTGAAATATGTACAAGTAAGGTCTTAAATTTGACATTTCAAATACAAATTGTTCCTATTATCAGGTTGACATTCCAGTTGTAAAACCTACATACATACATTCTATGCCCCTATGTTACTCAAGAACAGTGTCCCAAGTCCTCAGGAACAATGTGAACAATGGGCCAACACTTACGTCCCCTTTAGCATTAACTCCACAGCTGGGGAAACACTGGTGAACCGAGTTCCCTCACCATTCTTAATGCAGTGTTCCTGTATTACCGTATTTGACGTAATAAGCGCCCAGGGCGCTCTCAAAATTAGAAATAGGGGGCTCTTATTAGAATATTATTTGGTGGGGAAAAAAAGAATTGAAAGATAAATTTCATGGTTTATGCTGACAGCCTGAAGAATATAGCACACTAGTGCGTATTTTTACGCGAATAAAAAAGTCTTGTGTACACTGATCAATCGGAAGGTGTGCTAATTGGGATTGTTCACTGGCCAATATATTAGCAAATATCGCCGTGGGCGCTTATTAGAGCGGGGCCCTTATTACGTCGAATACGGTATATTCCCACACACCCTCCCAACATCTAGGACTTCCTCCCCCACCGACATTAAGGTACACAATCATGGTCACACTGCAAACAGAGACAATTTGAACTTTCTCACAAGCAATTGGGAAATGTCAAAAGTGATTCCAATAAAATCAAAACCCACAACAAATTAGGTTATAGTATGATCAATGATGACATGCGTGATTATGCATGTTATTGCGCTTATAATAAAACAAACATATCAACAAGATGAACAAGACTGACACACTCTATTCACCATATCTATTATTTATTAATTTGATAATCCTGTTGTCATGGTTATTAACCATGTTAACAATTAGTCTGTCCAGTGTGCTGACAGAAAATGAAGTAGATTAGAGTTTGGGATAGTGACTTATTCTGTTTGTTGTTTAACACCTCGCTCAAGGATATTCAAGCTATATCAGGGTGGTCTGTAAATAATCAAGTCTGGGCCAGACAATCCAGTGATTGACATTGTTAACATGCAATAAAGAAAGTCACCAACATTTATATTTGACTTTCACCCACCATGCTGACAATATAACTTTGGAAAAATTTCTTTGTTTTATTTGTATTCTCAAAGCAATCTTTGCTGTTGGCGATTTGAACAACCTTGTCATTCTTGTCAATGTCTGTGGATCCGGGAACCAAGCAAAAACAAAATGTAGGGCCACTGAGCTACCCTATTGCCTCAGTAGACATGCCGTCCCGTGAAGATCCGGGGCAGAATAGGTCTTCAGCAACCCATGCTTGCCGTAAAAGGCGACTATGCATGTTGTAAGTGGCGACCAACAGTCATGTCAATCACCATGATCACTGGATTGTCTGATCCAGACTTGATTATTTACAGACCGCCGTCATATTGCTGGAATATTGCTCAGTGCAGCGTTAAACAACAAACAAACAGAAGACCAACCAGTAGCCACCAACCATGGCAAAATGGGGCCCAAACCAATATTCCACTAATTCCTATCCATACCATCATTACTATACCAGCTGCCTTGTGCTTCTTCCTAATTGTGGCTCAATACAATGTTTGACAACGGACTCCAACACTTGACCTCATACAATGTCAGAATAGGAGAAAACCATTGTGGAATTTACATTTCAGTATTACCTCACTGACCATAGGTCTCATAGGGATGTGTATTGGCTGTGTATTGGCTGTGTATTGGCAAAAATATTGTATTGCAATCTGTTGTAATACAGGTACCTGTATTCATGGTATTGAGATACATATTGTGATTTATTATGCCTCAAAGTGAGATTGACCGATCAGAGAGCAGAACTTCTGAATCTACATGAGCCTGTATACCATCAGTAAAAATCCAAGATGGCTCAAGTCAAAATCAAATTCGGCTCACGCCTCACCCAATATTTTCCTGCTAACCCAATATACACTGTATACGGCAACCAAAAACACCATAACTAATAATATTGGAGGCTAAAGTGTTTGACCCTGATTGTACACGCAGAGCCTATTTTCCACATACTAAAGTAAATAGTATGATGTAAAAAGCCAGCATGGTTAGTTGCCACCATTTTGTAGTCATGGATACAGGGGAGACAACAACTTGAGAAAAAAATTACTTTGCGTTTCTGTCGTTTCAAAAGGAATCATCATTTGAAAATGAATTTCTGTGTTGATTTTAAGTTTAAAGATACAAATAATAACTAAAACACAAAAAGACTATGGCAATATGTACAGTATTACTTATTGAAAAGCATATTGCAGTATACCGGTACACCATTCAGCATGTTCAGTCCTCATTACTTTAGCATGATCAGAATCATCAGACATCCACTATAAACATGATAACTTGACTCATGACTTGTTTGCAGGGCCAGTACACAGTTTCACCACCATATTCATCAATCAACAGAGATCAAGGCTATTTCATCCCATCCACCTACTATGAACTCATTATGCAATAACCCCACCTGTGCATACTTGATCCTTCACAGCTTTACAGGTCACCAAGGTAAACCAAAGTGGATTAGGTAGTAAGAGTCTTAATCACGATCAGATGATCAGCATCCACCTTTTGACAAGTTTGGATCCTCATGAGCATAGTGATCAACTGAATGTTTGTTTGTTTTGTTGTTTAATGCCACATTTAGCATCCTCAGCAACCCACCATCATATAGCTGGAATATTGCTGAGCATGCTGAGCATTCTTAAATTCAGAGGTGTTCAAATTCAATGATGTAAACATGATGAAACTTAGCATTAACATGATTAAAGCCTCTTCCCTATTTGTTAGTCCTGTTATTAGGGAAATTAAGCCTCTGCAAAGATAAGGTACTGGTCTAAAACCCAAGAGAAATCTCTGGTATCAGTGACTAGTTTCGAGCTGGCTCTCTCTCATCAGACTGATCTAGATATCCTCATGAAAGCAGCCATCACATACCCACCACTGAAACCACAAATCAGTGGTCGAACTGTTACCAACTTGGCTGACAACTGTCACAAACAAGATCTGCATGAATATCAAGTCAGCTAACACCTTCAGCGGGCACACGACAGGCAAAAAATACAAATGCCAAAAGCATTTTAACTGCAAGAGTAGAAACATAATCTATATACTAAACTGCTCCAGATGATGGAAACAATATGTAGGAGAAACAAAACATCCCTTCTGCATCAGACTCAAAGAACACTTTGCCAACATCAACTACCAAAGGGACAAACCAGTCAATAAACATTTCAATTCAGTGTGACATTCTCTAGAGACCTACATTACCAGCTGAGTCAGACCAGAGCACGGCCAATCACTGATCCACTGAACTAAATGGATCTTCAATCTCAAAACTATCCACCCGCAAGGCATGAACGACAAGATCTAATCCTGGCGCCCCCCCCCCCTTCTTCACTGTCCTACGCCTCTGTAAAGCCACAACATTATGACTAACCATGACAACTCAATCAACATTAAATGCAACATTTT